CGACTAGTAACCAATGCCAAATCCGGTGAAACAACTGGCCGCTGTGATACAATTGTATAATAATAATATATTAAACTTGTATTCCACCAGATCTTTGACAATTCTAGGCAGCTATGGGTTTTTTAATACCATACCTAAGGAGTTCTTTGAATTTGTAAGGAAGCTACGTACTTCCACATCTGCAGGTTAAAAAAACAGCCTTAGGATTTAGGCTATTACCATACCTGTATCTTTAACACCGCAATGAACGAGAAATTGGGGCAGAAGAGTGAATGTATTTACCCCACTGGTGTACATTTTTAGGATCAATGTAGCAATGTAATCAGCTTGCTCAGAATAGCGTGTTAAGCTGTAAACAATCTCAACTATAGATCGTCCTCAACTTACAACCATTCATTTAGAGATCCTTTGAAGTTAAACAGTACTGAAACTATTCACATGACCATGTTTCACATTTATGACATGTTTAAGCATCCTCATAGTCATGTGATCAAAATTCGGATGCTTGGCAAATTGGCATGTATTTATGTGATATATGATTAATTCTTTATTGTCCAAGTGTGATTGGACATACAAGGAATTTATCCTGGTTGCAGTGTCCTGGGGTGTGTGCGTGTCATGCGATCCCCTTTTACAATCTTCTGACAAGCAAAGTCAATAGAGAAGACAGAGTCACTTAACAACCATGTTAGCAACTTAGCAACTGCAGTAGTTCACTTAACAACTGTGGTAAGAAAGGTTATAAAATGGAGCAAAATTCACTTAACAACTGTCTTACTTAGCAATAGAGATGCTGGACTCAAGGTAAGTTACAGATTACCTTTACTATATGGTTAACATTAACCATATAGTAAATTGCAAGATCTTTGACCTGCGTAAGCATTCTGTGTTAGCCACCTGCACTCATTCAACACACTAAACTTGGTCACTATATTTGTGGCTTAGGGTGTTGCAGAAACTGCCTCCTTGACTGATACAGAGTTAAATATACTGTGCAAAATGAAAAAAAAAAACTGAATTAGTTCAGTCACGAAACATGAACTGCAGTGTGCAGGGGGTTGGACTAGAAGGCCTTCAAAGTCCCTTCCAGTTCTATTCTGATTGATTGATTGATTGATTGATTGATTGATTGATTGATGAAACTTCAATTAAGATAAGAGGTGTGGAGACTAAACCATACGATGAACGATTGAGGAAATTAGATATGTCCAGTCTAATGAGGAAAAGGGTAACAGTCTTCCAGTATTTGAGGGGCTGTCACAGAGAACAGGGGACAGACTTAGTCNGTGCCAACATGGCTCTCTTAATAAATTGGAACTTTGAGCAATACTTTGCCTTGGACTCCGATTTATTTTTAGATGCTATTTTGAACCCTAACAGCTAGGATGTTTGGAAATGGTTTCCTTTAGTCAAGAAGCCTTGCTCTTAACCCTTTTTCTTGGATGTCTCTTTTCTGGCAGTTCCAAAATCCGGATACGAGATGGGCGGGCCAAGCCAATTGATCTCTTGGCAAAATACATCAGTGCTGAAGATGATGACTTGGCAGTGGAGATGCATGAGCCGTACACATTTCTAAATGGACTCACTGTCTCCGACATGGAAGATCTACTAGAAGACATCCAGGTATCCATCCAATGGTGGCTGCACTGTTCTCTCAGGAGGGAGAGAAGGCTCTTCCTGATACTGATCCGAAGTTCGTCCAGTTCAGCCTTCCTCTACTTGGTGGCTTGAAAATATATCAACGCTCAAATTCCCAACCATCTAGAACCGTGATGGCGAATCTATGCCACGGGTGGCACACAGATTGTCACCCCAGCTCAGCTCTACTGCGCATGCGTGCACGCCTCCCACTAGTCAGCTGATTTTGGGGTCTCTGTTGCGAATGCTTGGGGGGCGGGGTGCATGCGGAAAATGCACATGCATGCGCAGAGGTGGGGGGGTCTTGCACATGTGGGGGGGCAGGGGATAGCATGGGGGTACATGTAGTGCTCCCACCATGCCCCATTTTTGGTCCCAGGAGGCTTCAGGGAGGTTTGCTAGGCTCAAAACAGGGCAGGGGGTTGTGCGCGCATGTGTGGGGGAGTATGGGGGGGTCACATGCACAAGGGTTGGGGCGTGCGTGGGGGAGCACCCCCCCTGCATGCTTTCTTTCTTCTTTTCTCTCACTTCTCATATCTTTTTCCTCTTGTTTCAGGTTTACATGGAGTTGGAGCAAGGGAAGAATGTGGATTTCTGGAGAGACATGACCATCATCACTGAAGATGAAATATCCAAACTCCGGAAACTGGAGGCTTCTGGGAAAGGACCAGGTAGGGGCAGAAAGACAAAAATTAGAACTCGGTTAATTCCAGCCTAATAATACTTCCTTACCCACTGCTGGTTTTCAGCAAAATAGGGCATTTGATATTACACAATTCCTCTAACTCCAATTCCTCTTCACCTTCTCATCCATACCTACTTATTTATATATTTTGTTTGTTTGTTTAATGAAATTTAAAAATCACCCATCTCACTGTCCAAATGTCTCTGGGCATTTTTACAGATAAAAGCCATAAAACCATATAAAAGGAATAAAATTCAAAACAGAATTTAAAACAGAATGAATTTACTCCTCTCCCCAGTCCTGGCCAGCTGGGGAATTTTACATTGACAACTAATTGAACTTCTACAACATTTTTGGATGGATCATACTTGGCAGATTTTTTTTCCCAACGGAGATCAGGGTGATCAGAGTCACTATCATACCTCTTTGATAGATCCATACTTTGCTTCTGGAAAGCATCTTCTTCTTCTAGATTGGGCAGAGCATAGCAGACACCACCAACAAAATGGCTTTTATTTGTTCCTTTGTTTCAACCAGGCACTCTTCACATGATTGCCAAGTTCATTTCCTTGAATATCTGAGCAGACGTGGCTACTGTAATGTAGGGGCAATTCTTTCTTTTCTGTTACTTCCGTTCCATTTGAACAATCAAAACACTTCCCTTATTCATTACTGTATTTTTCGGAGTATAAGACGCACCTTTTTCCCACAAAAAAGAGGCTGAAAATCTGGGTGTGTCTTATACACTGAATGCAGCATTTTTTGCCTCCTGAAACCCCGCCCCCTTTACCAAAATGGCCATGCAGACATCTAGGAGGCTTCCAGAGTGCTCCTGGGGGACTGGGGAGGGCAGAAATGAGTGAAAAATGGGGTGTTTTTTGCTCAATTTTGCTCCCCCAACCCCCAGGAGCACACTGCAAGCCTCCTAAAGGCTATTCATGCCCTTTTTGGGGGAGGTCTGCAGAGTGCAAAAACTTTTTAAAATTAATTTGCCTCTTCAAAACC